GATGAAGTTTTCAACTTTGGGGGGCTGAAGCTAGGGATTTCTGAAGCAATAGCTATTTTAGAGTGAATGGTTTCAAATAGGTGTAAATATTTCTCCTTTGCCCTACAAATTATGGTTCAAAGTTCTGGACTTCCAGTCGAACTTGGAAGAGAGATTTGTGGTGCGTCGAAGGTTGCTTTTCGATTCAGAAGGCTACGAGTCAGTCAAGAAAGTTCATATAGTTTCAACCACTAAATTTTTCTCCATATGACTAATTATATAGGGGCAAGATGGATTTTTCTGACTAGGCAGCTTTAATTCACAGCTGCTTCGATATCATGCATCTTAGATTGTGATTCAGTTGAAACACTGGTAAAATTAAATCTCTCATCAGTTTCGTTGTTTTTGGTGCCTTCTTTGAAAGTATGAATTTTTCCACATAAATTTGACAGGATATTGGAGGATGTGACATCCAAAAGCAGGAAATTCGTGAGGCTGTGGAGTTGCCACTGACTCATCACGAGTTGTACAAGCAAATTGGTATAGACCCACCTCGAGGTGTGCTGCTCTATGGTCCCCCTGGTACTGGGAAAACTATGCTCGCTAAGGCTGTTGCAAATCATACTACAGCAGCTTTCATTAGAGTTGTTGGGTCTGAGTTTGTGCAGAAGTATTTGGGAGAGGTATGCCCTAAAAGGAAACTGGTGGAGTCTTACTAGTATCTTGTGACAATAAATTTATTGTGGTCTTGATTATCAATCTCTTGATTCTTTTAAACCCAGGGCCCACGTATGGTTCGTGATGTCTTTCGTCTTGCCAAAGAGAATGCGCCTGCAATTATTTTCATTGATGAGGTGGATGCTATTGCCACGGCTAGGTTTGATGCCCAAACAGGAGCTGATAGGGAAGTTCAGCGTATTCTGATGGAGCTCCTGAATCAGGTATCAGCTAAGAACTTGGTGGTGTTAATGGAGATAGTATTTTCTTGGCACTCATGAATGTTGTTGTTGGCACACTTTTCTGGATATTCTTTCTGACTGCTGCTTCAATAATTGCCTACAGATGGATGGCTTCGACCAGACTGTTAATGTCAAAGTTATAATGGCAACTAATCGTGCTGATACTCTGGACCCTGCACTCCTTCGTCCTGGAAGGTTGGACAGGAAAATTGAGTTTCCTTTGCCTGATAGAAGACAGAAGAGGCTCGTCTTCCAGGTATAACCTCTGCTGCTTTGATGACTATTGCGGTCTTTCTTATGCTTTTGGGACTGATTAACTTAACTCTCCTATCATCATTATATACCTCAATTGTGCACTGATGCATTTTGGATGATTATTGTACAGGTCTGCACTTCTAAGATGAATCTTGGTGACGAGGTGGATTTGGAGGATTATGTGTCAAGGCCAGATAAAATTAGTGCTGCTGAGGTTGGTTAGCTTGTTACTTTGATATAAATGTCCTCATTCCAAGTGCTTTGAACTTATTTCTCTATTAAGGTTGTGGCAACAGTTTGTTTTCATGTTTCCATGTTTTTGCGACTCATTCATAATTCCAGTTATCCTGGATTTGTTGGCTTGTCCTCTTTCTTTATTTGGAATTATGCGTTCTGGGTGTTTGCTGATTGTGACCACTTGCTTCTTTGACAATGAGCCACAGATTGCAGCCATCTGCCAAGAAGCAGGGATGCACGCTGTACGTAAGAACAGATACGTGATACTCCCCAAGGACTTTGAAAAGGGATACCGTTCCAATGTGAAGAAGCCCGATACAGACTTCGAATTCTACAAGTAGAAAGACCAACTTTTTACCTGCTGATGTGGCTGGCTGGACTTAAATTATATCGTTGAATCAAGAGGATTAAGGGAGCCTCCCTGGCTCTTAAAGAAGATGAACTACTCTACTGGTGCAGTATGTGGCCAAAAAGAGGAACTTTGTGTTGGGCAAACTTCGTTGCCTGCGGATAGCGTTTGTTAGAAGTGAATGCATTCCGACTTTCTGTTGCTCAATTTTCTATCAAGCTGTGTCACATGTTAGGAAGTATTGCCATCTGCTGTACCATTCGATTTTCTTTGCTCTTATCATACTGTTGCTGAGCCTTATTTATACGGTTGGCACTTGGGATGTGGCACGGCAGCATGTCTTTTTCCTTGTGTACTGTAAGTGTAGCATGGACTTGGCAGCATTTCTTCTCTATTAAATCCATGCGTATGCGTTTGGTGGTCACTTTCTGAACTGCTTGCAGCTTGCTGTTTTGATTCCGTTGGCAGATGAATCCACGGATGCAAGGAAGGTTGGTTTTTCATAAGGACCAGCAGCCTTGCATAGATGCTTGAAATTGAAGATTGTTTCTAGGAAAGGAAGCCTATTATGATTACGTCTAGGCTTGGGGTGGCTCGGTTAATGCGTTAAATTGATTCGAACTTTATTCTAATAGGAATTTTGGTCTAAACTTAATAAAATTTTCGTTGAATAACTTTTAAAAATTAAAGTCAAAATCACTAATTATTTAGACTACTTTTTTCTGTTGAATCAATTACTTTTATTTCCCAAAACTATATGCAATACACATATAGGAACTAATACAACGAAAAGTAAAAGCTCATTTTGAGCAGCCTTGCAAATAACAGCCAAACCTCACAGGAAAAATCTCACTGTATACATGTTCTTAAAAAAAATTCCCAAAATACATAAATTATAAAAAAATTTCCCAAAATACACATGTTTGGCATTCACCGTTTTTGACAAACGCAATGAATATAATCACTGCCTTTGTCAAACACGATGAATAATTCACCATTGAAAAAAAAAAACGGTGACGTATTCACCGTCTTCATCTAAAACGGTGAACAACCAGCGAGGCAATCACCGTTTTAGACGGACACGGTGAATCAATCACCGCTTTAATTAAAAGCGGTGACATTTAAACCGTTGTGATTGGCCACGATGAAGCGAAGGGGATCGCTGACGTGGACAAACGCGGGGTATTCACCGCGTTAAAGAAACACGGTGAATACCCCGTGTTTGTTTGCGTCAGCGATCCGCGTCGCTGCCGCGTTCACCGTGGTCGTCGGATGCGGTGAGGCGCGGATCGTGATTTTCTTCCCAGATCCGACGCCTCACGCTAAGCCGCGTCGCTCGATCCGCGCCCTTTCACCGTCCTTGAGAAACGCGATCACTTCACCGTTTCTGACGGAGGCGGTGAATGCTCCCCAGTTTTCTTCGGCTGACCCCTTCCCCCCAACTATAAATAGACCCTCCCCCCCCCCCCCCCCCCCCCCCCCCACCCACCCACACTTACAACTCACACCACAACCATTTCACTTCTTTCTCCCTCAATTTATCCGCTCTAGTCTCGTTCTAAGTATGCTCTGTGGTTGCGGATAAATCCGATCTTCCACATCAGAAAGAATTACTAGAGTTTGACCCTAAAGCCCCCGTCCCGCTAAGGTCCCGTCCCTTACAAACCTGAACTCGTCGAACCTCTGTCCGGCTTCTGCCAAAAAATGGACGAAGAGGCTCTTCGTGTAGGTTTTTTTTTGTGTTCTTATTTTTAATCGTAACAATTTGATTTTGTGATTTTTTTTTATCAAAACAATCTCTGATTTGATTACTTTTTTTATAGATGGGTGCCGAGATATACGATCCTTGATTGTATATCCATTATGGGCCAAGAGATATGAGACTCTTAACCGATCAAGAAGCTCATCGCTCCCGTGCTATTTGGGATAACAATCCGGTAATTTTATGATTTATTTGCTTTATTTTATATTTTCTAAGGTTTTATTTTGCTTTATTTAAACTAACAAATTGATGTTTTTCCTATTTTTTTGAAGGAATCACTTATTCCCGTCGTTCATAAAGGGACCACAAACTTGCCTCATTGGCATCCACGGTTGGCGCCCTATATGGAGAGGACCGGGTTGGGTATGTTGCGCCATTTCATGCGGATCGAAATCGACAACGATCTGCTTACGGCAATGGCTGAGCGATGGCGTCCCGAAACCCATACGTTCCACCTTCTGGAGGGAGAAATGTCGATCACCCTCAAAGACGTGGCAATCCTCACCGGGCTGCCGATTACTGGAGATTCCATCATTGGGCCCACTACCAAACCCGAAGGAGGTTGGGGGCCGCTCATTCTTGCTGAGTAGGGATTTGACATGCCGACCACCACACCATCACCGCGTTTGTCTCATACGGTGAACATTAGGTAGCTCATACCTAATTTTCACCTAACAGGGGTTGAAAACGTGCCTAATACTCACCGTTTTAACCTAGAACGGTGATGGTATTCACTGTTTTGCCCTAAAACGGTGATATATTCACCGTTTCTTACTAAAATGATGCTATATTCACCGTTTTCATTTAAGGCGGTGATTGGTTCACCGTGCTTGTCAAACGCGGTGATAGCCTTCACTGCGTTTGTCAAAAACGGTGAATACCAAACATGTGTAGTTTTGAAAAAAAATTTATAACTTATGTATTTTGGGAAGCTGAGCGTTTCCGGGGCCGAATCCACTTTGAATTTTATAAATGCTTTGAATTTTTTTTAAGAACATGTGTACTTTGGAATTTTTTCCAACCCCCACAAGCTCCTTCAACATAGTTACCATATTAAGGAAGAAGCCCCAACATACAGAGATTAGAATGCAGACTAACATTTGCACTACTGAGATACATCAAATCGGACGAAGTCAATCTACCAATAGCAGTAGCATCCCGGGGAAGCACATTATGTTGTATGTTGCATTGTTCTCTCCACACATTAGCAACACACGCACACCGGAAGAGCCTAGCATCCCTTGTGTTACTCCTGTTGAACTCAACTGCAGCATGCACCGAGTCCCGCCATGCCTATTTGCAGAACTGTCCTAACAATCTTTGCTCTGCCATCAAGGGTTTGAGAAGTGTTTGTGGACGTTTGGTGTAATTTCTGGCGTGTTTGGCGGAAAACAGGAAGATCGTTCTAAGGAGTTATGGCCTGGGATGAAAGTTACGGTCGCAACCGTAACTTTTCCTCACTGTCCGTAACTTTTAATTGCCGCCTGAAACGTTTGGGAAATTTTCCCAAAGTTACGGGCTGAGTTTCGATGTTACGGTTGTGACCGTAACTTTGAGACTGGCCTATAACTTCTCCTTTCCCGGGTCAATGACGAGTTACTGTCCGCGTTACAGACCATAACTCAGCCGATAACCTCATAACCTCTGACTCACCCAAGTCAGGCGAGTTACGACAAGAGTCACGGCCATAACTCTCCCGATGCAGCCGTAACTTCGACTTCGTCTATAAAAGGAGAGTTACGCCCCGTAAACTCCTCGCCATAATACTCCACTAACCCCCGTCGGAACCCAGCGCCGCCGCCACTCGTCGTCACATTTTTGCATCCTTCCGGCGACTTCCTGAACTTCGATCGAAGCGCTGTTTGTGGCGATGAACTTGTCTTGGCAATGCGCACCACCCGCCGCCCTCCGTTCCCTCGTCTTCCGCCCTGCATCCTCGCCAAAAATTGCCTCCCGTGACGTCTTCCGAGTCCACCCTTCTGTCGCCATTCTGCCGTCCTCTCCCTCACTCTACTCTCTTCCTTGTGTCTCCAGGTTGGTCTTTTTCCTGATTTTGTGTTTATGGAGAATCGAATTGTAGAGTGTAGAGAGAATTGAACCGATTTTGCATGATTAAATGTTTTATACGGGAAAAATTTTGCCTGTGATTGTCCGGTTTGCACTGCCTTTTGTGAATATGTTAGTTATTGGTATAGTGCCCCGTTGTTGTAGACTTTTGTTCTGCAGTATATTCTGGATTGCGCTTAAGTGTGGGGGGATATTGCCTCTGGCTTTCTTTCCTGCACTTATATTAGTACTAACGGGTTTCGAGGTGTTGGTTGGTTGTTTTTGCAGGGAAATGGTCAACTTGGACAACCCCTTCCTGCAAGGCCTCCGCTACACCGAGGTTATAACGGGACGTTCCCTAGGATGTTGGAGGGACTGATTGGGGGAGACTACTGCTTTAATCTGGCCTACTTCGAGAAGCTCCTCTGCCGTGACGCCATTGAGGCGGAAATCCCCCACCCCTAGTGGCGACGCCTGCTGGAGCTCTAGGATGACATCTTCCTGAGTGGGACTGACCCACTTGTTGTATGATATAGCAAAGATGATCCCGACATCCATCAGCTTCACGATTTCGTCCAGGACCATTGCCTCAAAGTTCGGAGTAACCTCCGATGTGGCTGTCTGATAGGCTTAACCTCATCCTCCATCAGAATTTTGTGGGAGCTGAAGGATGCAAGTCCATCAACGAGTGAGCTCAGTATCAGTTGATTCACCACATCAATCGTGGACGAGTTGCACCTTCGTTGGATCGAGCCTCTTCCTAGGAATTCGGTGTTGAAGTTGCACCTTCCACATCCGTTTTACCCTGTTCTTTCCTTGTTCCTTCGTTATCAATCAACAATTTGATGTACTTGAGGAATTGCAAGTTCGGATTAGAAGCTCATGGGGTGGAGCTTATCATCTTCGACGGTGCATGCTCAGTCACAGTCTAACTTCTCAGCATGATGGCGTGTAAACCCTCCTTATGAAATCTGGGATTCGGTAGGGGTTGGCTAGGAAGTGTGCCAGCCGGTCTGGAAGCAAGGGCATCTTCCAGGTGCCCGATTTTGGTGTCCATATCCTGCAGGAGTGCCTGATGGTTCCTCTGTCTAGTTTCAATCTCCATGAATTTGTCCGCAGCCACTTCCATGAATTACTCTAGTTTACTGAACTTCTGGATGCTAGTGTTGGCCAATGTGGTCACTAGGTCCCTCAATCCTGACACGGGATCGCCTGGTGCTGGGACCGATGGAGATGCACCAAGCTGCTGGTACTGCTGATGTGGGGGCTGTTGAAAAGTCTGCCCCTGTTTGGGCTGATAAAATGGTTGTTGCTGCATCTGGCCTGGGCAGGGCTGGTATGGTTGTCTCTGGTTTTGAAAAACAGGTATAGGAGCCTGGAAGTCAGGTGGCTTGAGATTGTTATTTCCACTCTAGGTGAAATTTGGATGTTGGCGCTAACCCTCGTTGTATTTATTACTGTAGGAGTCTTTGCGCCGAACATTATCAATGAAATTCAGCTGCTCCTTCGGTGTGTTGGACTCTCACATGGCTTGGCAGTCCTCCACCCTGTGATGGGTGCTCTCACACCACTGGCAATACATTGCTTGCTGCTGCTCTATACTTGGAACCATCCTGTTCAGATCAATCGCTGAAACCAGTTTAGAGATAACCTGGACCAACTCATATGACTGGTTGTCCACGACATGCACACCCTGGCCTGGTGCTCGTCTCGATTTCCTAGCTGTCCCCCAATCATATCCCTGCTCTGCCATCTCCTCAAAGAGCTGATTCAACTGCGGTGGCGTCTTGGTCAACATGTTCCCGCCACATACCGATTCGATCACCTGCTTATCTTCAGGGAAGAGAGCCCGGTAGAAGGTGCCCACCCTGAAAGCGTCGTTGAAACCATGATTGGGACACTTAAGGAAAAGACTAGTGTATCTTTCACACGCGTCCCAGATGGTCTCATCTTCTTCCTGTGCAAAATGAGTGATCTCCTTCTGCAGGTTCGCTATCTTAGATGGAGGATGATAGCGGGTTAGGAACTTGTCGGCCAGGCTGGCAAATGTAGTGATCGATCCCGGAGGCCGCGTGTCCAGCCACTCATTTGCCTGTCCCTCTAGAGTAAATGGGAAGTACCTCAGCTGGATGGCGTCTGCAGGGACCCTATTAATCTTGATTCCATCGATCAGCTCGTGAATTGTCTCAAGTGCGAGCGCGGACACTCGCCTTCCTTCCCATGGAATACCACCAAACCTTTCAGCATGGTGATAACTGAGGTGCTCACCTTAAAGTTGTTGGCCGCAACTTGAGGGTGTTGGATGGACGAGCTCATGTCTGCGGCCCTGGCAGTCCAGTAGTATCCCATGGTGTAAATGCTAAAGTAAATGCTCATGTCTGCAAACACGACCTATGAAGGCACACAGGGGGAAGAGAGAAAATGCAGAAAAGTAAATGATAAAGCAACAAAGTTTCACGTTTCTCAAATAACCTAGAAGTCCCCGGCAATGGCGCCAAAAACTTGACATACTACGTCACAACACCAAACTACGACCAAGTGTAATCACAAAAAGGAAATGGAGTATAGTGGAATCAAGTAATATAGATGTACTGCCTACTCCGTGATTATCTATTATCTAGTGGGGAGAGTTTAGTGAGAATGAGTTTAAACTAAAGCAGAAAGAAAGCAGTAAATTTTTCGAAGTTCTTAAGCAAGGGAAGAGTCACTCAGGAATGAGTCCCCCTAGCTCCTTAGTTAGGTTCAAATTATAATTTCCTTTAGTTGATTTACTGTTGATTAAACTGTGGAAGATCCGATAGTAGCTTGGAATCTTTTAAGCTGACCAAGCCCTCTTAGACAGACTAACCGACATACAACTAGTCTTCACCGGGATAGAATGCTAAGGCAATTAACACAGAACTCCACTACTGGAAACAGAGTCCAGTATAAAGCAGTGAATTGACTGATTCTTGTACAATCAATTCACTCCTACGATTGAAGAAGCTCTACAACCTAATCAGATTCTATCTATCTCATGTTGTATCATAATCAAAAGAAGTTGATCAGGATTCAATTGACTCAATAAGCACACTTCAATCGATTAAAACCAATGAATATACCAATCCAAAAGTCATTACAATCATGATTCCTAACACATGAAACTAGGGTTCTTCATTCCAAAGTGACAGAAAGTTCTACTCCATAGAGAGTAGAAAACAACAATCAGAGGAATCATACTCATAATGATGTGTACGGTAAGCTCTGGGATGATAATTTTCACTCCAATGTAGAAATCCAAGTTTGATTAATGAAATCCAGCTCCAAAATCTATCCTAGGGTTTGTTCTTCGCACTTTCTCTCTATATGACTCTGTTTTTGCTCTGAAAGTTTGATTCTCTCTTCAAAGACCCGAATTTGGGTTAAAACCCTGAAATTCATGATCACACGGCCAGGCCACACGGCAGCGTAGAATCCACCCTGCCTGTGTAACTCCCAAAACGTGGCAGCTGGTTGAAGGAAGTCAAACGACCATCACACGACCGTGAGACATTAAGCCTAGCCCGTGTAGACCCACTGGACATCCCGACGGCCAAAGTGTGCCCTTGGACAGCGAGTACGGCCCTGGACGCGTAATAATAAGATAAACGGCCACACCGCACAGCCGCGTAGAATTGGCTCTTGCCCGCACACGGCCATGTTGCACGGCCGCGTGAAATCATGAGCTGCCCGCGTAAAATCCTCAGCTTTCTGTCAAACGTCCCAACTTCGTCCAATCGACCCTGAACTTGTGCCCAAGCTTTTATTCACATACTAGGACCTGAAATATGACAAACAAGAACAACCTAGCTTGAAATCGGCCTAAAACACGAGAGGCGAGGCTCAAACAGTATAAGAATGGTGGACAAAAACATGTACAAATATCGAGTTATCACACCTCTTCAGGACAAGTTCTAGGTTATGGAGATATTGTGAGAAGGATCCTCAATAAATCTAGAAGTCATCCATGAATACTTCCATAATCTCTCCAACTGGTCAATCAAAGATAGCCAACATGCACCGCTGTAGGTCGTCGGTGCGTTGCAGAGACCGAATGGAATCCACCGGTAAGCAAACGTGCCAAAAGGACATGTGAAAGTGGTCTTTGCCAGATTCTCCAATGAGATCGGGATCGGGAAATACCCGGACATTCCATCCAGGAAGCAGTAGAACTCATGTCCGGCTAACCTCTCCAGCATATGGTCAATGAAAGAGAGCGCGAAGCAATCCTTTCTAGTGGCATCGTTGAGACGCTGGTAGTTGATGTAGACACGCTACCAAGTCACCGTCCGCATCGAGATCAACTCGTTCTTCTCGTTCAGGACCACAATCATCCCGCCTTTTTCCAGAACCACCTGAATGGGGCCGACCCACTTGCTATTAGATATATCAAAGATGATCCTGGCATCAATTAGCTTCACATTCTCTACCCAGACCAAAGCCTCCAACTTAGGAGTCAACCTCCCCTGCGGCTGCCAGACTGGCTTAGCCTCATCCTCCATCAAAATTCTGTGGGAATAGAAGGATGGGCTGATTCCTCTTATATCTGTGATCTTCAGTGCCATTTCCCGGGCTACTTCTTTAATAGAGCCACCAGATTGCTCTTTTAATTCGGGGTTAGTTCCAAGCTGATAATGATCGAGAGCTTATTCTCATCCCAGAGAAATGCATACTCCAAATGAGAGGGAAGAGGCTTAAGCTCAAGCTCTAGTGGCTCCTCCAATGATGTAGCGATCCGGGATGAGATGTGGATTGACTTAAATGGCTTCTCTCACCCTCGATCACTGTGTCTTGTAACTTCACGACCTACTTTGCCAACTGCAGCTCCTGTGATGCCTGGTCACCTAGCAAAAGAGAACGGTTGAGAAAATCATTAGTACCCGCACTCGTGATGGTGAGTGCGGTCTCATAATCAGCAACCACATCACAATAGTCCAAATCATCATGGAGCTAGGTGTGTTTCATATTATCAAGAACAGAAAAGGTTATTTTTTCACCCCCATCCTGCAAAATCAACTTACTGTCATTCCCGTCAATGAGTGCCTTGGAGGTGGCAAGAAAAGGTCGACCCAAAATCAAAGGCACCTCTTCATCCTCATTTATATTAAGAATAAAAAAATCAGTAGGATATGGAAATGGCCCTACAGTAACTATCAGATCCTCTCTAATGCCCCTAAGATGCATAATAGATGCTAATTGTTTGCTCATGCTAGTGTTACTGGGTTCATCTAGGCCTAGCTTCTTAAACAAATTATATGGTATGATGTTTATGCTAGAGTTTAAATCCTCCAAGAACTTTCCTACATGCATGCTACCTATAATGCAAGGGATAGTAAAACTCCCTGGGTCTTTGCGCTTCTCTGGCAGCTTGTTATGCAGGATGGTAGAACACTCCTCATTCAGCATCACCGTCGAGAGCTCCACAAGCTTCCCCTTGTTTGTGAGGAGATCCTTTATGAACTTCACGTACTTGGGCATCTTTGACAGTGCCTCCACGAAAGGCATGCTGATATTCACCTGCTTGAACATTGCCATAAATTTGGCAAACTCGTCTCTAGCTAGTCTTTGTGAATCCGAGTGGGGAAGGGAAGTTGAGGGACATACTCCTTCACCACTGGTTGTGGCTTAGGAGCAAGCACCTCGAAGGGCCTGGCCTTGACGGGAATATCTGAAGTCACCTTTCTGCTCCTGGTGGTAATGGCACTATAGTGGGCATCCGAGTCCCTAGGGTCTCTAGGATTAGGAATGACATGACCTGATAAGGTACCCGGAGCCCACTGCCGCCACGACTTTGTGGAGACTTCCAAGCTGGAGCTGGATGTCTTGAAGAACATTCTTTGCATCTCTCACCGGCTTCAAGATCCAGAAAATGTCTAGAGGCCTTCTCCATGAACTGTTCCATATTGCCAAATTTATGAGCTTTGTTGTTGGCAAGACCCACCATGATTTCGTGCAACTCGGCCATTGGATCACTCTATACCGGGGTTGCAGGGGTTGCCCGACTTCGGAAATGGCCTCGGCTAAGAAAGAGCTTGCCCCTGTCTGGGCGGATAGAGAGGTTGTTGCTACTTCTACTGTAATTGCCCCTGTCTGGGCTGGTACGGCAGTCTCTAGAAGCCGGGTGGTCCCTAGGAGACTGGTGGCTTAGGATTACTGCCACTCCAAGAGAAGTTAGCATGCTAGCTCCACCCATCATTATAGGTGTTGTTGTACGGATCGAAGCGCCTAGCATTGCCGATAAAGTCTAGTTGCTTTTGGGATGTAGTAGATTCCCTCATCGCCTGACAGTCTTCTATTGTGTGATGGCTGCTCTCTCACCAACGGCAATACATCGCTTGATGCTGTCCTCCACATGGAATCATCCCATTTCTATCAAGTTCCATGACCAGCTTAGTGACAACTTGCACCAAGTCAGATGATTGGGTGTCCACAGCATGAACACCACGACCCGATGCCCGCCGAGTCCTCCTTGCAGAGCCCCAATCATAACCCTACTCTGCCATTTCTTCAAAGAGCTGGTTCAGCTGCAGTGGCGTCTTTAACAACATGTTCCCGCCACAGAACGAGTCGATCAACTGCTTATCCTCAGGAAATAGAGACCGATAGAAGGTAACCACTTTGAAGGCATCATTGAAACCATGGTTGGGAAACTTTAGGAAGAGACCTGTTTATCTCTCCCAAGTGTCCCGAATAGGCGTTTCCTCCTCCTGGGAAAAATAGGTAATCTCCTTCTGCAGGTCTGTTGTTTTAGAAGGGGGATGGTAGCGGGTCAGGAATTCGTTACCAAGTCATTGAATGTGGTGATTGACCCCGGAGGCCAGTTTTCCCGGCACAGCTTGGCTTGTCCCTCCAGAGTAAACGAGAAGTAGCGGATTTGGATGGCGTCTTGAGTAAACCCATTGATCTTGATTCCATCAATCATATGGAATCGTCGTAGATACGCGCGGGGGCACTCGCCTATCTTCCCATAGAACATCACTGAACCCTTCAGCATAGTGATAACAATGGTCTTCACCTTAGAGTTGTTGGCATCAACTTAAGGTTGCTGGATGCTCGACCTCATGTCCTCAACTTTGGCCGTCCAGTATTGTCTCATAGTTCTCTCTTCGGACTTATCTTGAGTCACATTTGGGTCTCCCAACTGATTCACAGGATCGCCCATCTTAGCTTCTTCCTCGCTCTCTTATTCGTTAGAGACAAAAATCTTATCCAAGTCCTCCGCCGTAGTCAGTCTCGATTTAAGCGCTCTGAGTTGGCGACAAGTCCGTTAGATTTCTGGGTCTAGATGTAGCAGTTCTCCCGACTGGCTACGAGTCATGCACTACATGCACACAGACTTCAAATACAACCCGTGAAAGCAAAGTGGTGGAGGAAAACAAATGCAGAAAAGTAAATACTAAAGTAACAGATCTTCACGTTTCAACAACAACCTAGAAGTCCCCGACGACGGCGCAAAAAACTTGACTCGCTAAAACACATTACCAAACTATGACCAAGTGCAATTGTAGTCCGAAAATGCAGTATAGTGGGACAAGTAATAAATGTCAACCCAGGTCCTAGATGTACTGCCTACTCCGTGAATTTCTATTACCTAGCAACAAAAGTGTAGTGAGTTGTTCAAAAGCAAAGTAAACGGAAAGCGAGAAATGTTCTGGTTTTCAAGCAGCTAAGGGTCAACCAAATATGAGTCCCCATAGTATGCAGTTAGTTCATATTATATGTTCCCAATTTGCTCCAATTAATATATATTGCGGAAAGTTCTTGACAAGTCTGGAATCTTGACTAAAGTAATCCATTTCCTCTCAGTTCGAATACCCGACGGGCGACTAACCTCCACCAACATAAACTAACCAAACTTCTTGACAAGTTCAATAACAGACCAAAATTCCTCTACTAGCTTTAATTCTAGTATAGAGCAGTGAATCAATTTCTCGACTAAAGCGATCGATTCACCACTTACAATTTTAGGTTTCTCTATTAACCTATGAAGAGACTGTCGTTCTAGGTTAAAGAATGAATTACCAAAGTTTGATATGACTCATGCAATTCTTATTAATGCTTCAACTGAATATATCGAATCAATCATTCACAAACGGGGTTCATATAACCATTCCTAACATACAAAACTAGGTTTCTTCATACCCCGATGAAAAGGGAGTTTACTCCATGGAAAGAAAGGAAAATACCAAGCTTGGAAGAGAAATCATCATGTGAGGAATGAAAATCTTCTTGAAACTAGAAATCTGCACTTCAGGGGTGAAAGATCGAGCTCCCATGTCCTTAGATTGCTCCAATCCACTCCCAAGGTTATTCTTCGTCACTTTCTCACTCTAGGGTTCTCTTTCTTCTCTTTAAAACTCAAAAATCCGGATCCTTTGCAATCAGCATGAGTTGGCCTTTTAAAGGCTGGAGATCCGCGAGTTACGTCCAAAGTTATCACTGTAACTCTCTTGCCCAGCCCGTAACTTACCGTAAAACGGCGGCACTTCAAGCATTCCGTAAACCAAGAGTTACGACTCCAAAGGGTAAGTTACGGTTGAGACCGTAACATTGAGAAAGAGGTTGTAACTTTAAAAACGCTCTTGGAACTTTTAGCTTTGCTTGCTCAAAGTTACCGGCATGGAAAATAAGTTACCATCAAGACCGTAACTTCAAGGATCTGATCGTGATTCGGGCCCAAATGTACACATTTTACCCCTCATTTCTTACTCGTTTAGCTTAGTATTTCATCGTTCCTGGACATATTTCACGCTAGGTTGTGCTTGTTTTGATACATTTTACGTCCTAGCACGTGTGGAAGGGTCGAGGACGAGTTTTGGGATATTTTTAAGTAAAAAAGAACAAAAACCGAAGAAAAGTACCATGACAATTGCCCTGTAGTAGTGAATTGAAGGCGTCTAAGAAACAGCCGCAGTTCACGGCCAGACGAGGCGTCCATCGAAGTTCCTGAAGTTACTGACGACAATGCAGTTCACGGTCTCTAAGACCGTGAACTGTGGCCATTGACCGTGAACCCAGGACAGTGAAGCGATGCATTTTGGACAACGCTGAGTTCACAGATGCATTTAGGTGTTCACGGCCGTGAACTGGCCAATGCATCCGTGAACTGATCACTTTCGGGCAAATATGAAGATAGCAGCGGGGATAGAGAAAGTGGAGCTGGTTTTTGGAGAGGAAACACTTACTTTCTCCAGGGTTTCAACCTAAAATACCAAAGGGGAGTTCTAGAGAGAGAGAGAGTGTGCTAGAGTAATCTTGGAGCATCATTGGAGGCTTGGGTGGAGATTCAAGCCTAGAAGAAGAAGATCTTGAGCTCAAATTTGTAATCCCTCTCTCTCTCTCTCTCTCTCTCTAGAAACTCACTCCTTTCTCTTGGGTGTTGTGATCCCTAACTAATACTTTGTAATTACTTTTTTAGATTGAATGATTAAGTGTGGGTTTGCATCAATTTGAGTATTAGTGGTGTATTCATGGTGATTGTGCATGCTCGTGCTTAGCAATTTAAGGGTTGTGCATAATTGTGCTTAGCACCCTTAGGTCTGTGCATGTTGGTGCTAGCAATATAATTAGCCACCTTAGCCTAGATTAGAGAGGAAAACCCCCCTTCCAAGGGAGACTCAATCGAGTTAGGTTTCCTTCTGCTTTCTAAGCCACCTAAACTAGGTTAAGTTAGGGAAACCCTCAATATTGAGTTAAGCAAGTCGGTTAATCGTGATTAAGCCGTCTGACCTTAGAGTTGAGTGAGGGAGTAAGTCAACTACCGATTGTCTAAACCGAGAGGGTCGAGTGACACGGCCTTTCATACTTACCTCGGTTTAGCAATTGAGATTGTGGTCTTCAACCACATATGCATCCCTCTGCGGTTTGCGGTTACCAGTTTGCATCTAGGTTGGCTGTAATTAAGCCGCTCAAACTCCGGTTTGAGGGAGAGACCTAGGGAACCACTAGAGCCTATGTGAGAGGATCGATCATGTGACAAATCGATCCCTAGCGAATCCATCCCGTGACAAATGGATTGCTAGTTGCTCCTCCTATCGGTTCCCCTATACTTGGTGAATGGATCTATCTTGTGACAAATCGATCGCTAGTGAATTGATGACGTGACATATTAATCACTAGTTGCTCACCCCCGAGGTTCACAACCACCTACGCGTCACGAATTCATTCAATCCAACAAGTCATGGTATCTAGTTAGGGGGAAGTAATTCCTGGGTGAAGCTCCCTTAGTTAGAATTTTCCTTTATTTTCCTTTCTTTGCTTGGTTAGTTTGTAGTTCCAATAAACCTAAACCCTAAAGTTGCTTGCTAGATAACAACTTAAGCGATTAAAGTAGGGGTACATGGACCGGCCTGGGTTGACAATTTAAATACTTGCTCTATACTGCACCCAGCTAGAGTTTAAAAACTTGGACTCTAGTCGGGATTAATTTGTGGTGTAGTTTCGTGCGAGTCAAGTTTTTTGCGCCATTGCCGGGGAACCACGATCCATTATTTTGAAAAGGTCGCTTAGTGTTAATCTAGCATTTTCTATATTTCCTTTTTGTTTATGTTTTGTGTTTCGTGTTGTGTTTTGTTTACCCACTCTTCGTCTTGAAGGGTGGTTTGTGTTTGTTTGATTTTTTTTGTATTTTTGTTTGTGTAGGTTATGAATCATGGATCCCAATGGATTCTACAATAGGTGGGGGTATCCACAACCACCCGAATGGGGGTACCCCGAAACTTCATGGAGTGAACAAGAAGGGAGAAGCCCAGGATCTAGGTTCTGTTACCAACCCCCCTTCCACGAAGAACAAGCATACCATTGGGGATTTCAAGAAGCTCCCCCATATATGGAAAACTTCCCTCCTTAACTCGAGGAGAAATCCAAGTTGGAGTTGGCAATGGAAGCTTTCATGGGAAAATCATCATGACCATGTGCCACTCCACAACCGGAGCCAAAGAGCAAATTAGAGCTCATGGTAGAGCAATTTTCCCTTGGTACCGATGAAGGATGCTCCAATTCGGATCTTTCCATCGCCGGCCCTATCGACTCAACCTTTCTTCAGGAGGCAGAGGAGCTTCGTCGCCGCACAGAGAGGCTAGGAGGGCTTGTAGAGCAAGCAAGTGCACAACTTGCTCACAATCGCCTCCTACCATTGGAAGAAAGAGAGGAAGTCGAAGAGGTGAGCCATGATAATTTTGGAAGAACGAGATCCGACATGGATTTCCAACCCCTCCCGCCTCCCGGTTTGACACTAGAAGAGAAAGTGGCACAAGCTTGTGAAAGTTATCGCCTCTCATTATTGGAGGAGAAAGAGGAGGTTGAAGGGGCTCTCAATGACAACCGTGTGGAGCAAGAAGAACTGACCCCCTGAGAGCTCCCCTGGTGAGGATGAACGAAAAGGTTGCATTGACGATTCTCATCATCTTCCACTTCCTAAGAGAAACCTTGAAGACCAAGACACGAGTGTGGAGGAGCAAGAGAATCCCTTCCATGAGCTTGCATGGCATCTTGCCCTCCAAAGTGTGCTTGAAGACATGAATGGGAAGGAGGAATAAGTGGTGGAAGAGGAGGAAGAAAGCATTGAAGAGGGGGAAGATCTCGAGTGTTCCCAAGGGGAGGAAATTGAAGAAGAAGGAAGGGAGGTTGAAGAAGAAGTAGAAAGGAGCAAGTGAGGTCCAAGATGAAGACTAGGTCGTGGTGGATGAAGCTTCAATGAGTTACAAGTGCAAACAAAGCTTTCCACCCGACCTCGATGCGCTTTTGGAGAAGGACCTATTTGTGGCTATTTTCCAAGCCAAGGACAAACCATCGGCAATCCCTCTTGGTGGATGCGATGGAAACCAATCAAGTTTGCACTACATTGTATGGGGCAAGGAAAAGAAAGAAGGAAAGAAGAAGAGGTCTCATGGGTGGAGCCGCAAAGCCACTCAAGTTCACGAGCCCTCAATCATGGACTCGTCAAATGCTCGTGACTTGATACATGATAACGTCATATTTGCACATGTTTGCAACCTCGTTTGTTGATCATTTTGGCTTGAGTTTTTGCTTTCTTGGACTATTTTATGCTATGTTGTGTTCCTTTGTCACATTTCAGGTCCTATCATGTAAATTGAAGCATAGGCACAAGTTTCAAGTCAATCGGAGATCATTTGGCAATTCGGGAGAAGAAACACGAGCATGACCTGAGGAAGAATGGAATTCTAACTAATATTATGGACAAATAATCATGGAATCTTGTCATGAAAAGATAGAGTAAGAGACTACAAGCGTCTGGGATCAAACAGCGACTGATTCGGAGTCCGGACGAGGGAGAAACGAAGCATTAAACAGGGGCGGAGGAAGAATTACGGGCAGGATAATTGCGACCGTATTTTCCCCTCCCATGCACGTATTTTCACTGCCGAGAGGAGCTTTGGATGCGCTGAAACTTAACCAAAACGCATGTTTTGGGCAAAATACGGGCATGGAAGAATTACGACTGTATTTCTGCCCGTATTTCGCCCAGAATCGGGTTTTTGTGGCAGATTCGAGCCAAAGGAAAGGGGGAGCTGGGTTTTTGGATCCCAAACACCCAAGTGACGAACCCTAGAGAGAGACAGAGAGCGACTTGGGAACATTCTTGGAGCTATTTTGGAGGATTTCTTCACCATTGGAGCTCGGGAATCAAGCTTGGAGATGGAGATTGAAGATCTAGATCAGATATCTGCAGTCTCTCTCTTCTCTATGGAGTAACTTCCCTTCACTTAGGTTTTGAGGAACCCTAGTTCCATGTTCCATGTGTTAGGATATTTCTTGTATGAAGTTTTGGATGCTATATTGTTTGATTATAATCGATTGAGGCATGATTTATAGAGTCAATTGAAGCTTGATCATCTTCTCTTGAATTTTGCTTTAACCTATGATAGATAGAATCTGATTAGGTTAAGAGAGCTTCCTTGATTGATAGTGGTGAATTGGTTGTGCGAGAGTCAATCAATTCACTGCTTTATACTGGAATTCATTCCAGTACTGGAGATCTGTGTGAATCGCCTTAGCAGTCTATCCCGGTGAAGGGTAATCGCCTGCCGGGTATTTTGTCTAAGAGGGCTTGGTCAGCTTAAGAGATTCCAAGCTAATTTAGGATCTTTCACAGTTTAATCAACAGTAGATCAACCAAGGTAATTGCAACTTGGACCTAATTGAGGATCTAGGGGGAATCATACCTATGTGAGTTCCCAACTTGTAATTAGTAGAGTAGTTTGTAGAGTAGTTTAGTAAATCAATCATTAATCTAGTTTGCTAGATAATGAATTGAAGCTGAGTAATAGTAACTCTAGAGACCCGTGGATTTGATATTTATTACTTGTGCCACTATACTGCAGTCCCTTTCATTGGTTACACTTGGCCATTGTTAGGTGTTGTGTCGTAGCGTGTCAATACATCACCTCACCGATGAGAACCTCAACTTCAAGGAGGTTCTTGGGTGGACTGAAACTGGAAGAGCAACCGTCCGGCTCACGACGTTAAACAAGCGCTTGGTGGGAGGCAACCCAACCATCAACGATTTGCATTTTTTTCCATTCAATAAGAAGACCATTGGAGATATTTTGGTGGTGTTTTGCCGTCATCTCGCTCTTCCATATCTCACCCGCCCTCCGCTCCCGAGCACAAACATTCACAACTTGACCGGTAACATCGTTCTATCCCCTTCTTTTCCGCCATTGAGGGAAATGTCGAGCTTAAGTGTTGGGGGGGGGGGGGGGGGTATTCCATTATGCATGTGTGTGTGCATGTTTGGTATGATTTTGAATGCTTGGAGCCTAGTTGTATACCCAAATTTTCAAAATTTGAGGGCTCCAAGCATAACAACTTCTACATTTGCATGATCATAGTGGCACCTTGTGGTGATTTGTTTTGAATCTCGTGGTTATTAGCATTGTCTATGGATGATTTGCTTGTGATTTTGTGCAACCTATGATGATGACTGAGACATGTATTTGGTTTGTGCATAGGTTCATTTCTCATGTGTTTGTGAACCGATAGATTTTTTGAATCGATTACTCGCTTTTCACAGTTTCCTATGCATCGAGTTTAGGGAGTGAGACCGAATGATTGAGCACCTAGGTAGCCATGTGAGACTTATGCTGTTAGTTTCGTTCTTGTGTGATAGTTCCCCCTTTACATGATGTGTAGCATTCACGTTGTTGCTAGCCAGGAAGATGGAGGCATAGGATTAGCCCACGGCCCAAAAGTTGACCAAACCGATCATATTATCCCTTAGTCAACCCTTTTGATTCGTGTGTCTAAGGGTCGCTCTCGTTTTAGGTAGCTCTCGCTACTTGAGCTTGATTGATTTAGATAGAACGACCCTACTTTCTTCGTGTCTACACCGTTATCGAGTCATTGTTCCTTAAGTTTGAAAGCTCCATTCATACAATTTGAGCTTAAACGAGGTTCCACATGAGTGATTTTTGTATGGTTTTGCTAAGAGGTGGAGTGTGGAGGTAGTTTTTCAAAGTGAGCATTGTTCCTTAAGTTCAAAAATGTGGCATGTTTTTTTAGCTCTCTTTAGCCCCCAAAGAAAAAAGAAAAAAAGAAAAAGAAAAAAAAAAGAGAAGAGATCAATAAGAGGGCAAAGAAGAAAAGAGAGTGGCCACCAAAAATATAATAAATGTTGAACATGCTCTTAGAAGTGTTGCTTAGCATGCAACCTTTAGGAACACTTACATGTTGTTTGCCTACCACACTCTTGTGCTTGAAATTGAATAGCAAAGGTAGCAAGAAAGATTGTTGCTAATGGTTTGGTGATTGGTTGTGGTTTGGAATCGAGGGAAGTGTGGTTTTTGGCCGATGCTAGTGGCCATTGAGTATAGGAGAAGGTTCTAGTGAAACCATAGAACCTTGTGTCTTAGGTTGAAGATGTGGAACCTCATGTTTTGTTTTTCACCACCCAAAAAGCTTTTCCCCATGTCCTAGACCCCAGCCAGTCATTTGAACCTATGTCTAAGACCTCCGGACAAGCTAGCAACGACACCCATCTTGTGAACTCTAACATTTAGAGGCTACTGTCATGATGATAAAGGGACGTTAGGATTGAGCGTGAATATGCACATCTTTTGCATCAAATGGTCCTGACCCCATTGGTCGAGAGTGAGTGATTTATTCATCATGTTTTGTTCATTTCTTATACCCCAGTGAGGACCTAGGTTGCTCGATCGTTCGTTCCTATGATGTGATCTTCATGCATGAGTAACTGTTATTGGTGAGTCGTCGAGGCATGTTGTGTGTGGGTTCGTGAATAATGTGAGAACTCTTATTTTGCATAATCTTAATACAGTTGAATGATGTTTGTGGTGGTTGCCAAGATTACTTTGTTTTTGTCCATAGGTCGGTGTCGAATAACTAGTGTGATTCATTCGTTTTGTGCTCTATGACATACCCCAAAAATTGTGTTGAAAAAAGAAGTTGTAAGCTGTAACACCCTACCCTATACGTTTTGCCTAATCATATTGTTCGTACAATTGCAGCGGAATTAATCTCGGGTGTTACATTAATTATCAAAATTTACCCAAATAAAATTTCGACATGAATTACTCACGTAATGGGCTAACAGTTCTTGCAACTTATCCTTCAAAATAATTCATCACAAACATATATACTCACAACCATATGCATTGGCTTTTCTTAGCCATAGTCACACTTTTCATACTCCACAACTGCATACCATACTTATACATACCATAATCGTCATAACTTACACAGTTACATAACATATACACATATCATCAACTTTCCACACCTGTGGATATCTAACACTACCTCAGAAGCTAGTATGCACATGAAAAACGTTCTCAAAACATTTTTACAAAAAGGTGTGGATCACTGGCCAAACTCCCGAGTAGTAGTCCAAACACAGAATAGTTGAAGACCATACCTCATCCTGGCTTCAACTCTACCTCCTCTCCCACCTAACACTTGTCTACTGCTGCTGCTGATGATCTGCTTACACATAGCATAAGCAGAGAAGAAGAATAAAAAAGGTTCAGCTCATAGCTGAGCGAAATAATCATAGCATCGTGAGTTCATGACAGAGCATACCCCTATCATACATCTAACAATCAAGCCAAAACACTAGGATCGGACCTCAGCCATCCTCATATCCCAATAGGCAAAAGACTCAACCACCTTGACTTATGCATATGCATCTTATCATGTTTTAATCATAGGCGCCTGGCTACTCCCATGCTAATTACTCTCCCGGGAATACGGACCAAACATCTCGTGTATGTGGTCATGTCAGACCCACCACTACTGGTGTAGACATATCGGACCTGACACCACTCTGGGTGTGGTCATATCGGACTCAACACCACTCTGGGTGTGGTCATATCTCATGATGAATCAACGGTCAACACCACATCAGGGGTGTGACATTACATATCATAACGGAGTAATAGCATGGGGAGCCCTAATTACTATGTAATTGACCATGAGACCAATGTACTCTTACTTAATATCCTTATACATCATCAATATCTCATCTTACTTAATCATAATTCGTTACTTGCACATGTACTTGACCTGGCCACAATTGGCTCAACATAGGTAAATCAGGAGTCGTATAACTGCACTTCCTCGGGATAAACCCTCGTGCAAGTCATCCTCCTTAAACGTCATAATATCACCAGGGAATATATATTTTCCCACATGTGCATCCAAATACAACAATCATGAAAAATCATACCCAATCACCTTTTCGAACCATCATAAGGCATATCAACAGTCAAGCCCACAATTTGCAACATATACGAAATCATCAGCATAAACAAGGTCCATCTCGATTAGGGCAAGTCAATAATATCATACAGTAGTCCATGGTTCAT